GCAGCAGATATTTAACGCTTCTTGCTTCCAAATGCCAGTGGCCAAATTTGATGAATGCTGAGCGTGAATGGCACATATCTTACGTCACATGCCAGCAACCAACCAACTGCATTCTTTTTTAATTCTTTTCTGATTTTTCGGCAGTTTGCTTGACTTTTGTATGTGTACTTGCGTTGAATTATTGCCATAGGAAGACTTTTTTAAGTGCCAGCAATATATTACTTTGATGTAGAGTACGTCTTTTGGTACCAGCTCTCCAATAATTGTGTTCGTCTGTTCAACTGCATCTACTGGATCAACATCAAACCTTTTGAAGACTCAAATAAATTATTTTAATCAAGCTCCATTAGAAATTGAAGATAATTACGTCCTCTTTTATTAACATTCAAAAGTTTGAACGACAACGATGAGTTCTACGACCAACCAGAAGAACAATCACCGGTCACTCTCATAGACATGTAGCACCACACGCCGCAGAAGGAAAGGAACATTGCACTTGCTCTCTCCCCATAGTAAATCTAGAAAATGACAAATTTGAATTTGCAATTCAAGAGTAGGCGCGGTGAGTTTTGCATAACGAGTTTAAAAGTTTCTTATGAAGTTCTCTACACGAATTATTTTTAAATAATAGTTCGTTAAAAGCTTTTTTGAAATTTTTCTAGTAAATTCTTTTTGTCACATAACGATTGAACGTTTTCTCAAATATTTATAACTTCCACGCAAACTTTAAATTAAAAAATAAATGAACTTTTAAAATATGTTCACGCTGGTGTTTGCTTGCATTTTGATGTTCACTTTAGTTTCAACAAAAAATAAGACATCCAACAGTTTTTTAAATTTAAGAGAGTTGGTGCTATTTTCAATTTGGTTTTTTTCTTATCTGACGCACTCGGTAGATTGCATCACAGAAACTGCGCCTCTTAACATTGCTCTCCAGACAAGCAGGACTCACATCATAAGCATCCATCAACAACACTAACGGCTGTAATGGTTTCTCAGTCATGTAGATGTGCATTAAAATGATCTAATATACTTGTTTAAGATGCAAGGAAGATGAAACTATAAAGAGTGTTTCATGCTTTCCATAGAACATTAATGCTTCTTCTTCTATGTTTATTTCATTTGCACATTAAACGTACGTAACGCGCTGCTTATATGTGCCTCCCGCTACTTATTCTCCTACTTACTTTCTTGATACTTTGTACTCGAGGAATGATATTTCACGAACTGATTCATATGCATAACATCAGACTATTGATTACGCAGTCACGTGGTCCTCTTTTAAGTTTAGTTTAATAAGAAAAACTATTAAAGGTGGCCGTAGATCGATGCTTGGAATCGATACATTCCTTTTATATATATACGAAAGTGGCTCAAGTGAAAAACTTCCGCCAAAGATGTTTGTACATTTTCTCGGCAATTTTCTGATTATACAAACAACCAAACGTTTTTTTTTAATTTTTTAAAAATTTATTATTTCTTGGCTTAGACAAACCTGCAAATATTTTCTGTTATTTATGTAATTTTAAGTCTAACTAAATTTGAAATCTCGAAATTATTGAAATGAAGCTAACTGATCTGGATGTATAACAACTGAGAAACGTGAAAATAATGCGCTGAGCGATAAATTTAAAAAAAACATTTCGTTGTTTTCTGCTTTTCTGAAACTATCTTTTCTGAAACAATCTCTTCTGAAACTGTTTTGCAACTTTTTTACATTCCTTTGTCATCTCGAATGATAAAAATTAAACGTCAAATTTTAAGCGAATAATTTCAACATTTCAAAATCACTTGCTGTGTTACATGTTTCTTGTTTGTAAAATTAAATGATATAAACAATTTTAAATCAACAAAGCTGGCAAAAAACATTTGTTAGAAGTGTAGACATGTTAAGCAGAGAATTTGTTCGAACGCCTAAGTGTAGTCAATCCTGAATTATTTTTTGATAAAAAAATGTTAAATTTCGAAAATATAAAATGGAATAAAATCTGCAAATAATTAAACAAATAAACAAATATAAATATATAAATCTCAAGAATTATTTTTTATTGTAATTATTTATATTTCGTGTTTATATTCATAAAGTTTTTCATTTAAAAGTTAAACTTATACATTCGTATGAACATTAATTTTAATTACTATTTTCAATGTAAACAGACAACCTCAGCAATGCAATAATCCACCGAGAAAAAAGACTATCCAATCAAAACGTCCCATTCAATACCACGTGCCTTAACAAATGCGAACGCTTGTCACCGATTGGCAGTCTGGAAATACCCTTGACATACGATATGTTGACCTTCAAGAAGCCAGCCAATGATAATTGTGAATTGTGTTTGATGGACAAGAGATTGGCTTCCAATTGGACCAGTCACACAGAAACCTCGTCTACGATTACTTCTGTCTCGACTACCGTTTAATTAAAACATTTGTTGAATCATTCATCGTCTTCATTGATTTATTTTTATGCATTCAGCGTGTAAAGTGTTTTTATAAACATTTTCTGTCAATTTTTACGTTTGACGAACATTCAGTTAATTGGTTCAACATAATTAATTTAATTCAAATTCATTTATTTCATGCATTTTTTCACAGATCGTGTTTATTAACGGTCAAGAATGGACATTATGTACAAAACTTAAAAACTATCACGATCCTGTTTGCTTATGTTTTCAACGTGCTTAAAATATTTTGTTTTTAATTTATTTGAAGTTTTTACCTCAACATTTACGAACTAATAAAAAATGATAGGACGATACGCAACGTCGTACGCTTAATATTCTACAATATGTATTATTTATATATCTACTTGAATACGTGAAAAGACTGAATGAATGAATAATCCAATCAAGGAACAACATCCGATCAATAGAGGAACCTCACTTTTCTTATTGCTGAAAATTTTCTGCCTGAAGTTTCATATCTTTTTTAAAAAGAAAATAAATGACTAATAAATTTAATAAATCTAAAACCTTCATTCGCAAAAGTTGTGAAAGCAATAAGGAGGTTCGTTGTGATGCTCATTGAATGAATATCTCTTAAGTTATAACTGTACAGTGTTATAGTAGACTTGAATTTTAGGAAATTGTTTTTTCAATTCCTCAAAAAATTGATTAAAAAATTTTCTTTTTTTACCTTCTTCAAGTAAAAGACCTTTTTATTCATTTCTAACGTTAATTTTCAGAACGGAAATAATACAAACTCTTTCAAGTTTGCCAGCTATCTTGAAAATATGTTTTAAAAAGGATAAAAGTTTTCAAGAGAAAGTTAATTAAAATTGCGACCAGGAATACTCCCGAGCAGACTTTCTTGCCTGACTCCACTGAAACATGATTGCTCTGTTGACAGGCCTCCATCAAACTTCCTCTTACATTTCCAAAATTATCTATTATCTATATGTCTTTATGTCAGTCTTTCTCTTTCTCTTTCTCTCTCTCTCTCTCTCTTTCTCCCCTTATCTATCTGTCTGTCTATCCCTATCTGTCTTTCCATCCATGCATTTACCCATCCATCCATCTATCTATCTATCTATATGTATATGCGTATACACTTCACAAAAGATTAATCAAACGTAACTGTCATGATGATAAAGTTATCGATACTTCCAGTCTTCAACACAGCGGAATGGAACGAAGCACGCGATGACCGCACGTTCTTTGCGGGCTTTCCGTACTTCGCCTTCTACTATTTTTTATCGTTGTTTAGTACCGTATATGGCTGGCTGATGGGCTCGGATTGTATCATATGATAACAGGCATTCTAACATGCATGAATGAATGTCTGTGCACAAATACCCACACAAATACCCACAACTGCTGCTCTGGCTCATATATAAATACACACACACACGACACACACACACATGCACACACCACACACACAGCCAGATATATATATATATATATATATATATATATATATATATAACATTCAGATACAACTACGCTTTGACATTGAAGCCTTTAAAAACAGAAATTTACGATGATCATTTAAATAAGAAAATGTTTAAAAAACAAAACTCAACCAAATGAAGAAAGACAAAATTGTTAAATTGTTACTTATCACCTAAGTAAGGAATGAATCATAATAAAATATTTAATAATCGTACTCAGACCGTGGTGGATCTAGACAGTGGCGGATTTATGGGGCCCGGTGGGAGCAGTTTTTTAATAATCACATAAAAGAGCGTTTTGTGTATAAAATCAACCAAAAATAAGGTTGTCATCCACACTACCACAAATCTTGGCACTCCTCGTTCAAATTTAAACATTTTCAAAATTTTGCTCCTTTCCCCTTCAAAGCTGTCTTGATCCTTCTCTGGATCAAGACAACTTTTATAACGGGAAGGCTAAAATTTTGAGAATGTTTAAATTTTGATATTATGACAAGGGGCCAAAAAACTAGCAAAATTTTTTGTAAAGTGGTCAAAATTAGACTGGTGATCCCTATTTTTGCTTATCACGTCAATTTTGGTCGCTTTTCTACATAAAACGGTGTTCTTTGTATATAAGAGTTTTACAGACTTTTAATGAAAATACTGCTCACGACGATGTAGGCCATGGTCTCCCATAGATCATCCACTGGTGTGGATAGTACAGCCCTTTGTGTCACGAAACTTTAATTTTAAGTGTAGGATGACCACATACAAGCAATTCTGTGTTTGACAAAGCTGAACTATAAAGAACAAACAAAAAAAAAAACAAAAAATTTTAGTTGTTACTTGCAAACACACACAAACTCACATATAAATATATAAAAAGAATAACAAGTGGCAAAATTTGTTGCTTTCTTTACAACACAAAAAAATATCTTTGTGAGGAGAAAATTTTTAAAAGCAGATAAAAAATTTGATTTCTAGAAAAGTCAGCCGGCGTTGGTTGGGTACGAATCGGTGATCATTTATTTTAATACACCGCAGAGCGAAGAGGGGAGCCAGTGAATAATTTGTAGTGATGTAGTGAAGGACAAAAACTTCTTAAAACTGCTTGCGAAACAATTTTGGAAATTGGTATATTAAAACAGATGACACTAATCAGTGACGTAGTCGATTAGGATTTTTTTTTATAAAATTCGGATGATATTTTAAGCCCTATATGAATAAACGTTACTATAATATATATATACATATATATATATATATATATATATATATAATAGACAAAAAAGAAAAGTTTAATGATGCACTGCCATCTACCTCCTTTCGAGTGTGTGTTGTTGATGCCAAATTCTCAGATGTCATTACCAAAGCAAGTCCCTGGTCTGAAAATGTGCGAAACAGAGAGTGGTCATTCAACGGTCGAATCGATTACATTGATGAAAACAATTAGGTTTCAATTAATTATGGTTCGTTATGAAATTTATTTGTTATGTTTACAATATAATCTATAAGAGATAGTTCCATGTTTAATCTGCACATGATTTGAGTTTTGGTAAATATTCTGGAACTATAATAATCAGTTTAAGAGCAACACAACACGCTGACAACGACCAGATATCGTGACAAGCAGAAATACTTAACTGAAAGTTAGTTGGCCAACCCCAAGATAAATAAATGCCTGAATAATTGAAACAACGATCGAGGTGATAGATTGTTTCATTCTGCAATAGCTGTGAGCATTAGCCCTACCGCTCTAATGTTTATTTATGTTGCCTTCATTTGATGGACATTAAAATTTTAAATGTTCTCATATTTATAGATTTTCAGCGAGGGAATGAATATGAGACAGCTCGTCATAAAAACTAAATTACCAAACTTCTGATATATCGACGGCCTGACTCCGAGAAATGCATTTATCGAAGAAGCGAAATTAAAGCAAAAACAATTTCACTAAGCCATTGCATTTTTAATTTACTCTGACCGTATTTGGCACGCAGTTTATGACTTGCATCCACGAGTAAGCAAGTATGTATAGGGGTGAAAATTCATGGAACTCATCATCGGTAGCCAGATAGCAAGTGCGTCTGGCTACTGATGAGCAGAGCGTCGGAGTCGAGGTTGCAGTCGGAGATTTTAGCCGGAGTCAGAATTTTCTGAAAGGCCAAAGTTGGAGTCAAATTTTTTCATTTAAATTCGACTCCGGAAAATTTTTTTAACGTGAAAAAAATTTCAGAAAAATTTTTTTGGAAGATAATTATGCGTAGCGATAGGCAAAAATAAATAACAATAGTGTGAATAAAATCACATAATTTTTTTCAGTATGCTTTAAAACACAAAAATAAAGTAATTTTACTAAGAAAAACGACTGGTTTTAAGTGTTTTTTTATGTATTTTTTATTTGGTAGTGATAATAAAATAAAAAATTGAAAAATTTTTCTGGGAGTCGGATCCTGAAACCAGGAGTCGGAGTCAGATATGTTTACAAGGAGTCGGAATTTTTTGAGGGGCCAGTGGGATATTTTTCATCTGATTCCGACACTTTGATGACGAGTCCAATGAAGGGAGGGAACGAGTCTATTTAAGAACGAGTAATGTGTTTGTTCACAATAATAATGCATCTTTGGGAGGGGAGAGATGGTGTACATTATGTACTCGAACTGGCCGATAGTGTCTGCAGGTCGACAAATCCTCAGTCTGTGTTTGTGTGTTTCTGCGTTAGTGTATAAGTGTTTTATTGCACAATTGTATGCACCAATCCATGCCACACATGAACATTAAGTGATTTGTTTTTGAGAGATAGCCAACATAAGATGGTCATTTAAAAACAAGCCACGACCTAGAGAAGGCATCTGGCCACTAATTAAGACATCACAATCAATCAACAACACATTGATGCTGTAGTAGACAAGAAGTGCCATCGGGAAAGAACAAGTTAATGAAGAACATGTCATCGGGAGATAACGTCGGCAACGAACGCGTAATGAAAACGACAAAGTGAGAAAAGATGAGGTAATAAAATGCACAGAGCGGATGTAATCAGACCTGCCGTTCAATACAAAATAAACGCTGGCGTACAAATGAAATTATACGCATGTACTGTACAAGATACGCAGCCAGATTAAGACGAAGCAAACGCAATTAACGTTAATTCGATATTAACGCGATCAAAAACTATAACCCGAATTGATATAATTTAATAAATGCATATTAAACAAATTGTACATAATTAAAAAAATTTTGAGCGTGACGGTCATTTATTAACATCTGCAACTAAAATGGACAAATTCAAATAACCAATTACTATATGACCGCATCATAAAATTGTTGAAAAATAAGACTGGATCAATTTGCATATCACAATTATCTTTCTCATTGGCTGAAAAAGGGCAGTTTTACAATGAAAGCTTGAAAGTAACTATCTTAAGATGAGGCATCTACAAATGTTTGTGCACTTCGAAAATATGAAGGGTAGAAAACTGTTTGCAGAATGAGAAAAAATAAATAACTGATCAATATTAATTAATAAGTAAAAAGGATTGAAGTTTGAAGAAAAAATTGATATTTGATTGTATTGCTACCCCGCATGTATAGATGGACTATCCAAGCCCCACAACAATCGAGATCGTCATATAAACGTTAACTTTGCAAATCTAGTTGATCACAGCATTTTTTTAACACCCTGGTCAGCATCATCATCGCCACCATCATTACGAATATTAAGTTCTTCTACGTTAGCATCAGCAATTTGGTCAGTGTCGCCGTCTTTTGCTCTGTTCAACAGCTTCGAGTTCTTGCCCGCTTTCGTGAGTACAGAGTGCAGCCGCTCGATGAACAAGTCAACGTCGGCTTTCGTGATGCCCAGTGCCGCTGCAGCAGTCAGGTAGCTGCTCGGATAGTTGTCGTGGCTCGAACCAAATCCAATGAATGAATGATCTTCCACCTTGCTCTCTGTATGGCGGGCTATAACTCTGTGTGTGTGTGTGTGTGTGTGTGTGTGTGTGTGTGTGTGTGTGTGTGTGTGTGTGTGTGTGTGTGTGTGTGTGTGATCATTTTCAAGATATCAATGGAAACGCATTTGGGCAGTGAATATGATATTTTGCAAGAATGTAAAGTTGTTTATATTTGGTAAGTTGGAAATCAGTTAACAATCAAAATTATCATTAACGTAAAATTAAAACCGAAAAGCAGGAGTTAAAAACGAATGAAGCAGAAAGAAGCCCACCCACCTAACACCTGAAACATGCCTCGTAAAGAGCATTGAGCCAATATACGTGACGGATTCGTGATTGAAGTTACTGAGAGACATCGCTAACAAAATGTAGTGAATTAAATTAAAATGATTCTTTCACGTTGGCCAGTGTCCACAAAACATCAAATCAATTCAAGTTTAAATTTACGAAACCCACTCACATCTCATTTCCTAACAAGTTATTCAAAATCAATTTTTCTTGGAAATTAAAATGTAAGCTGAGCTTTTTAAGATTTTAAATTGCTAATGAGGAAGACATTTCAAAGCAGCTTCATGACGAACATGAGGCGAATTAAATTAAAATTAAATTCTAAAAATTAATTAAAATTAATAGCACGAGCAAATCAATTTATCAAATGATGTTTAAGCCCTTACCAAAAAATGAAAACATTTTCAAACAATCCTGTTCGTTCGAAAGCATGAAATAAAACGTAAACACGCAATAGAATAAATCCAAACTCCAAAATAAAATAATGAAAAAAAAAGGTGAAAATGAAAAAATATAAATAAAATAAACTGACCGATGGAAATTTTATTGTTAGGTGAATTTAAAACTCTCTCATTGTGTTGAGCGGCACAACTGTTCAGCTTCGACTTCAAATACTCGAACATCTCCTTTCTTTCGCGAAGCAAATTTTTAAACTGCGAGAGACCAACTTGCAGGAAGGTGATCAAAAGATCCAAGTGTGATGAGGCTGAGGCCCTCCCTGTTAGTTTGGCACCAGCCTCATTAAATACATCAGTCGTTATGAATCATTCAAATTTTTAATATCATTTTAATTTAATTTTGAATATATTTTTCAATTAAATAAAATTCTTCCTCTGGAAAAAATGACAATATAAAAACCATGACGACGATGGTGACGGCATAAAAACATTATGACAATGTTTTGTCGTGGAATGAAGGTAATAAACATAAACCCGGATACATGGATGAGATCCGACGAATGACGTCATCCTCGTAACTGGCGATGACGGAACCACCGACAGGAACAAGGAAGTTCTTGTCAGTTGACTGGACGATCACATCCACCCGTCCAACTCTCTGGGCCTGTTTTCCATAAAATATTTAATCACGCACACACACACACAAACAACGACTTATTATAATAGAAATAAAACCCAAAACAATTAGTTTATAAAAGGATAGAAGTAGAGTATGAAACATTGAATGTACGAAATAATGATGAGGATTGAAATATTACAAATCTCCATAACAAATACTGAAAAAATGTACACTGAATACAAAATAAGAGAAGTAAGCACTTGTTGGATGAGATGTGTTAGTTTGGACGACTGCAGGCCATATGCATTGTTGACGAGGTGAGGAATGTTTCTCTCTTTGCACAGGGCAGCTACCTCTTCCAGTCTGATCATTTAGAGGAAAGCGTTCATCCCATCGTATTTCCAAATTGTAACGACACACGTGTAGTATTTTTTTGAGTAACATCACAAACATTCGACAAATAGTAAACAACATTACAAACATGCACGTATCAACGACCTCGCAACAACAAAGCAATCAACCTGTCCGGAGCTCTGGGAGCAAAGCAACTTGTTGTGGTCATCACACATAAAATGTTTTCAGCTCCTAAGGAAAATATTTGAACAATGTCATTGTCATTTAATACAAATAATTTGAAAAACCGCAAAAAACATTAATCAAACAAAAAAATTATCCAAATCATATAATGTAGTCAACATGATCACTTGCAAATATTCTTGTTTCAACAATTATTGTCAACCTTATCTAACACAGTTAAAATCTAAAAACCACAAAAACCTAAAACATCAACTTGTTCTGTTAACTTCTTCATGTTTGTTCTGATTTCTTCATTCTCCAGCTCGTTCTCTATGACACACAACTGCAGACCTTTCATGGCCAATATTTATTTTGTGGTGATTTCAAATTTAAAAACATTTTTAAAGAGGACAACATTATCCAATATGAGAAAAGAAATATCTGATATTTTGATGATTAATAAATGCACAAATCAATTAATGAATCATTTTTAAAAAGATAACTTTATCCAACATGAAAAAAACATCTGACATTCCAATAGCAAATAATGCAGAAATCAATTAATGAATGAATCGAGCAATAACTAAAATTATAGTTAGTTATTGCTCTAACTAAAATTAACTAAAATAGCGACAGTTTATATGGATTTGTCATTTGTCATTCAATCACAAAAATTGTCAATTAAGAACATTAAAATGTTAACAAATGATGAAAATATCAATATGATAATCGGCATCTCATCTCAGTTATCAATTGTCGAACAGGAAAAAGTGGCACCTGCAGCTAGCACTGACTTGATGCACGACTTTTGATCGATTCTTGGCCACAGTACCCACCTAGCTGACGGCCCTCTCATCTTCTTCAAGGTCATCATGCAAAAGGTCAAGGTCATGCCAGTTGCCATGGGAATGATGATGGCGGATGATATGCTTGTAAAGCCTTTGTGTCAAATTCGATTTACCATTTAGTAATCAACCATGATGAGGATGAATTTCATAGATGGAATGTCAGATTATTGTGATAGGATAGATAGAATGTGTGAAAGGTGATGCAATAATGATATAAGACATAAAATGTTTGAATGATATATGATATCAAATGTATGATGTAATTGATTTATGCAAAGTTTGATGGATAAAAAAAATGGAAAAAAAAATATCATGTGGTCGGCTGCAGAAACAGACCACATCCAAACCAAATTTGAAACAATAAATGTGAGTAAAGACCAAATTGTCTGAGTGCATCAGTAGCCAGAGCATTGGCCAACTTCATGAGAAGACTTGAGCCAGCAGCCTTTGGTTGAACTTCCGTTAAATATCCTGATTTTCCAATGCCATGAATTAATCTATTTAAAAAAATAAAAATATTATTCATAATTTCTACAACTCAAAATTGATCTGAATTACACAAGTTACAGAAAACAATTGCAATTATAAAATTATGATTGTAATTAAAAGGTTATAAAAACAAGCATCACACTCCACAACAAACCTGAAATGCCTACGGGCCACAATGCTTGAAAGGACTCTGCCCTCACGTTCACCCACTTGACTGTTCTTTGTGAAGTTGTTTGTGTCCATCATGGATATTTCTGAGAGAAACATTTCAATCCATTGCTCACTCCAACCTTCCTCTGGCCACTTTTTCTGAATGAGAATAATTTATAAGTTATGCAAGGCTGTGGGCAAAACATGTAAGTCAACTTAGACATGACACAGCTCTCTACTATTACAGTACAATCACACGTATAGGCAGATGATACAACATACGTATACAATTTATACAAACCATATCACATCCATACCACACATGATTGATACAATGCACAACAAACTAACAACATTAATAATTAATTTAATTTAACTCTAAGTTTAACTATTATTAAAATTAAGTTAACAATTAACAATTAATTTTTATTAACATCCAGGCGATTCAGGATTCAGCAGGTAGTCTTCAAAAAATGTACGAACAATTATATATAAATATGTATTAACTTATCATATATCAGTAGAGTAGAATATATATTATATAATAATCATTATTATACAACATTGTACAATCGTACATATTATTTTACAACATTATTAAATAATGTTATACAAACAGTGACAAATCTGCAATATGGCATGAACAAGGTGTTAAAAAAAGATCCTTGTTATAATTGAAAATTAACTTTTTCTAAAAGCAAAGCAAGCTTGTTCTCATAGCTCCTCCTGGATTCGACTGCCTGGTTGACGTACGAGGCAGGCAGCAAATCTCCAAGTCTTCCAGACTCCAGTAACCGTTCATTCATGACTTTTGTTTTTGGTCTTGTTTAAAACTAAACTTACATTTAAGAAAACTTAAGTTTGTTTTTAAACAAATTATTGAGCTAAAGTCTACGATTCAACTTAACAGAACTCAACCAAGATATGTTAAAATATTTAATTTGATTTTTATTTAAAAAATTTTTACAGTTCATTATAAAATGAATAAAAATGTACCCTGAATGCCTCTAATAGTAATTATAATTTTTTATTAGTTTTCCAGTTTTCCATATTTAAAGATCTAACGTTTACTTTTACTCGTTTACATCTTGGTCGGAGCGCGCGGATCAGATGCGTGTTACCCTTCTTTAAAGTTTATTTTTTGTTTTTACCGTCTGAGCAAAATTTTCAGGCATTTATTTTCTGTAGTTCTCCTAAGCCAGTTAAATATTTATTTCGCGTGCTCCTTTTTGACAATAACATGGATCTAGTAGTGGAAGGAGACATCAATAATAATAAGAAGAATGATGAGGATGAGGATGGCCAACTACAAAAGGGAGGTGGCAGCTGGACCAACTCGTTGGCAGATGGTGTTGAAGATGGTCTCGCTGATGCTGGGAATCAGCAGATTGCTTCCAAAAAGATTCTCAGTGTTACAGATATTATTGCTAAGAACATGGCAGAAAATAAAGCTTTTGTATGTTTTAAAATTTATTTAATAATTTGTATTCAATCAAATCAAAGATCAAACGTTCAAAATAGCTATTACTTGAAAATAGTCATTTGACCTTCAAATTTCATAATTAGTTTTTTTAATTAAAAAGGTCAAAATTAAATTAAAACAATAGGCTAAATGTCCAAAGCTAACTAAACTGACCTAGGATGAGATGAGAGAAAAGAAAGTCTGTCTACTAGCGTAACATGTTTTGATGCTACAATTATAAGTTTATAACTTTATAGTTTTGACTTTTTTAAACAAATTTTTCTATTGGCTAAATAATACAAATGATTTCAACTGCATTTTTTGTTACAAATCCTGAATATCAGGTATAATCTTTCAGATATAGTAAAATGGTTTTGAATTAATAAAAAATTGTTTATATTTATATATAATTATAATATATACAAATATGATGAATTAGACTATAATATTTTATACTTAAGTCTTGAGATGCCTTGATAAACTTTTATAATTAAATAATTTCATTCAATTAATCAATTAATCAATTGAATTATAATATCAGATTATTAAGAAATAATCATAGCACAAACTATATATATATATATATATAAATTTTTTAGTGCTGACACTCAATAAAGTTTTGGCATTTATAAAAACTTACCCCTATTATAAAAAATTGTAATTTTTAATCAACATTATCAAAAACAATTAATAAGTTAATTAATTGATTAATTATTTAAAATAAAATTGTCTTCTGCTTAAATCTAATTTAATGAAACAGTTATAAATAATAGAGTTTTGCTTCATAAAAATTGAGCTTACTTAAATTAAATGGTATTCATGAGACTGCTTGCAAATTCTGATGGAAAAAATTCCTTTGTGTCGTATTGCACTAATTCAAGGAACAAATTTTTCTAATATCTTCAAACTGTATCCTAATTCTAAAGTTTTGCAGTTGTTAATTAATGAATTAATTAATTAGTCATATGCATACCATAAACTATTCTTAATTGATCAGTTACATATCAATGAAATTTTTGAACTACAGTTGTCCCAGCTGTTAGGCAACTCAAAAAGTACAATTTCTTTAGATGACGAGAAAGCTGTGGAATATGAATACAATGTAAGCTGCAAGTGTTTTTTCATTTGATTGTTAATTAATTTTTTTGTAATTCTATCATTTTTTCTCTTTATTCAATAAAATTCTATGTTGGATGGTTTAACAAAAAATTTGAATATCTATCTATAATTTTTTATTAGTCATTTAGCTTTAATTTGTAATGTTTAACCAGTTATAGATATTTTTGAAATTGGGTATATTGGTTATTTTCTAATTTCTGAATAATTTTTTTTTTGTAAAAAGAGGCACAAACACAAGCGAAAGTTTTCAAAGGAACAGATCATTGAAATAAGAAGAAACCCAGGCAGGAAGGCGAGGAGTTATGCTGGCGATGAGAACACTTCAGATGAAACCACAATTACGAGAATGGTGATTGATTATCTTATTTAGGACCAATAACATTAAACACAATTTTATTTACGTAGTTATTTGTTACTGCTTTATAGTCAGTGATGTTGTTAATATAAATGGATTAATGAATAAATATTTTATATAATTTGTTTATGCATGCAGATGGCAGCTAGAAATGAAAGTAGAATTTTTTAAATCAGCAGTTGTTTCCAGAATTTAGAATCCCTGCAATTATTTGTTTTCTTAACAGCTGTAAATTTTTTCATCTCCAATAAAATTTTTTTTGTTTTTACTTATATGATTTTGGTTAGTTAGAGCTAGTTTCATGTATCATATTTCTTTTTTTTGCAGTCCATTTTGGGTTGTTTGTTTCCATTTTTTAAGTTGAACTCTTTTCTGCTTTCAAATCTTTTTTATGTTAGAGTTGTGCCTTGTTCATTTTCTGTACAGGTTACTAATGAAAGTTGAAAATGTTTCATAATTTCATTATATTCTATAAAATTGATATTGAAAATATAAATAATTATTCAAACCATACATGTCACAAAATGTTACACCACATAATCTATGGTTTAAATACATTTTAAAGCCCCTAAAAGTGAAATTCTCACTCGGAAAGTGGGGCTTGAAGAGTGAAGGTGCTGGAGATGTCAGTGAAGATTATAACTACGAGAGTGATGCAGAGGAAGATGATGATAGATGGGATAGGGTATGTCTTTATATGGCTCAGCATTTGCCTCAATTGTTCCAATTTATTTATTGTCAATCAATGTGATTTTTTTAAATTCACTACTTCATTACCTCTCATGTTGCTCCAGTCTCCCTTAAAGAAACGAGTCAGGTTGTCCACACCATTAACTGGTGTGAGGAAAGCTTCTGAGATCACAAAATCTGAACTGGACAGAGTCATCTTGGATCCGAGGATCAAGAAAAAATATACCGGATCCCATGTAGAGTTATTTTATTTAAAGCATGAACATGTGTGTGCACATTTTGCGTCTGTAAATTTATAATAATTGTGAATTGATAATGCAGTACTTATAACTTAGCTAACAAGAATTAATTAATTTCACTTTTCTTCAACTTTTTAAACTAAACACTCCAGTTGACAACATGCCACCAATGTCGACAGAAGACAGATGACATGAAAACTATTTGTCGGTCAGGATTTTGTAGGGGAGTGTTAGGGCAGGTACTACATTCTTTGTTCGTTTAAATTTTGCTATATAGTGCAACATGTTAGTAACATAATACTGGAAAGTTTTGCTAAATACTTATTTCAATATATAACCGAACTTCTTTTTTTAAATTATTGGCTTTACAGACTGCACTATATACCTTTTCATCAAATGTCCGAGTTGGGCTTGTACAAACATAGAAAGTCTGATTCAGCTTAAACAAATTGAGCACAATTTAATTTTTATTTTTAACAATTTTTTACTCTGTGGTTTGTTCGCTTTATTGTTACTAACAAATGTTAGTAAAGCGAGAACACTTTTAAAAACAAGAAACGGTTAGTTAAGTATCGTTTATAACAAATAGCCTGCCATTACTATCGGTTTATACGTTGTCGGTCAATAATGACGCACTTTCTCCATAATTTATTAGTTATAAAGGCTCAGAAGTACCTGGCAATTCCTGCTACGTCTGTGCCACGAATTCGACTTCAATGGTGCCAAATCCAGTCATTGGTATTTTAAGTCGCCGCAAAATTTTTTGATTTACGCCGCCGCCATGTATTCAAAAAAGTCACGATAGACATTTTTAAACGTGAAATTTAAACTGAAAACAGCAGCACAATTGAAGTTTTCCGTATTTCTATATTTTTGTAAACAAAATTAAAGCACATGAAACATGTAGCTAAATCAGCAAATAATTACGTGCTTCAGCTGCACGTAACCCGGTTGAGCATTTTTTCAAGCATGGAACTGATCCTAATCATAAAACGCAAGTCGTACTAACTTTGTTTCTTTTACGCATGGCAATTAGGCATTTTCAAATTATTCAAACAAACATGTCAATGATATATTGTCATGCAATTAACTTTGTCGAATAAATTTTCAATTAAAAAGTTTTTTTCTTGCAAATTATGTTACTAGTAGTTTTAATTGATAAATCAATGTTGTGGTTGATACTTAAATGCTAACAGTAAAGGATTTTATTGTTTAAGTTTTCATTATGAAGTTATTTGAATGACTTTATCAGGCTTTGCAAATGGTTTTATCTTAGGATAAATTGTTAAAAATGAATTAAAAATTGAAATCAAGTCGTGAATTTTAGTCAAGTGCGCTAAGTCAGTCGCCAACAGCATAAGTCAGGTCATGTTTTGAATAGTCGACGCTCAGGGCTAGATTTTTTCAAAATTTGGCTAATCAGCTTTATATTCCATAAAGCTATCGGAATCTATCATTGATGCACCGCCCCTTGTAAATAAACCACGAAATCGACTCAAACCTGAACATTTAAAACAATTAGTGTCATCTAGTGTCAAAAAATACGTTATTTTGATTTTAAACTCATTTTTGCTTCAACATTTTAAATTTAAAATTGTGTCAATGAACGCTATGTTAGATATAAATTACTGAGTTGACTTTTATTCGAAAATCATGTTTTTTTTTACCTGAATAGGATCGAAATCGAATTGATTTTTCGTTATTGAACCGTCACCAGTGGTGAATTATTATTGCAGGAGCATTCTTTTGACATAAACTTTTTGTATTTCTAATTTTGGAAATTGATAAATTTAAAATTGAATCCAATATTTTCAATCTTGGCAATTCAAAATTACTTTGTATCTAATATTTTTCCACCATTTTATAGTTTTGTGGAATTTGTCTGTATAATAGATATGGGGAAAATGTAAAAGAAGCTCTCCTGGATGATGTTGGTATTTCAAAGTTTCAAAATGTAAACGTTAAGTCACTAATATCGCGCAAAACATTAATTCATTTCAATGTAAGGGTAAAGAAGATAATATTCGTTACAAGATCATATTAATAAATATAATATTCATTTCAATATTAATAGAAATGGTCTTGTCCGGTCTGTAGAAATGTTTGTAACTGCAGTTTCTGTCTTCCAAAAAAAGGCAAAAGTTGTACTGGCATTTTGGTTCCAATTGCAAGGAAACATGGTTTCACTAATGTCAAGTCCTTTCTTGATAGGTCTTGGTTTATCACGCTATATTTCAGTTGACTCTATTGAGTTTCTCAGTTATTGATGCTATATTTATTATTGTTGATTATATGGCTATTATTTTATACTTTTACTGTGCAGTTTATCTGACGGAAAGAAATGTTCAGTGAATATGGAAGTTCCGGATGATACTTCGAATGGTGGTAGTGTTCGCGCACATTCTGAATTTTGTGATGAAGTTGAAATCAAAAAAGAAGCACTTGATGGTGAAAATGATGACGTTAAATTGAAAGAAAATAGGGCTAATTTAGATTTTTTAAGTAGTTGACCACGCTGAAACCATTCAATTGTTTCAACTTGTTAACAGTTTCATATTATTTCTATTTTTTGTAAAGATGGATGTAATTGAACGTTTTTAGGGTTTGTGATTTTTGTATATTTGCTAATTTTATTTAATAAAATGAAAATCTTTTTATAATAAATTAGTTTTTTTAAAGACTATTCTGCTATTTATTTTGCGAGAAATGCATTAATTTAAACGAAACACCATTATCACGCCGTGAACAATAACTCGGGCGTAAGCAAAAAATATTCTACTAATTTAGCCAAAGTTTCATGATGTTTAATTAGATAACCCCTTAGGGAGCCGTTGTGGTCGATGGCATCCATCTTTTTTTCGACTTCCATAATCTTTCTTCCTGGCCAATTTTAACGTTGACAGAAATTGGGCTTTTGCAGAATGTGGAATTACAGTCTAATTATAAATGTACTAATGAAAACTGGAAAAGTTGGAAGGTCTACCGAAAATTGGATAAATGACACTGGGTTCAGTCCAATAAGTCCAGAGATTTCACGTTTTTTACACATATTTTTGTATATACTTTTTTCTGGTGTTTTCTTTCTTCAGATGTCTTCAGCTGATTTTCAACAATTTTCCGTAGCACTCCATTTCAAATGGTTCTAATCTGTATGTCTCTTTTCTTTATTTTTGCATGCATGTTATTTCTGACTTCACTGTTTCAGATATTTTACAATTTTTTCAAAGTTTCTGTCAACGATACAGAATATGGAACTTTTCACTATAAGGCAGCTTCAGGAATGTTTAATGTTTAAAAATTTCTACAAATGTATTATTATTCTGTTAGATGTATGTGGAATTTTTGTTCTAGGGAAATGATTGCTCTCCGTCACAATTTCTTTTTTAAAAAAAGTGGCAACACAAAATCTCTATTACAGATTCTATAGCTGCACCAAACGTATCCAGTATTGTGGACAGCACCGCGTCTACTCAATACTAATGAACGGAAACATATAACTCTTCTAAACAAATGGGCGGTGCCACGTGTGCGATCAGGATCATATACATATTGACAGCACCAGATAACAGAGTGACGGGCATAGCATGAGCCAACTTGGATGCTGGTAAATATTTTTTTTAGAATCAAACGATCGCAAATTTGAATTACTTATAGGAATTGAACTATATAGCATTAGCGACATTATAATCATCGTTATATAAAATATACCAAATTTTTGACATTTGCAATGAGAAAAACAAAATATAACATGATGATCTAAGAAGAAAAAATTAAAAATTGTCTTTGGTAAGTTAAAAATCGACGGACAGACGAATTTTCTTGTTGGTTTTGATGGTTTATCCTTTAAAGTTTTAAACAAAAGCTAATCAGTTTTTATTTATTTATTAAAATTTTTTAGTGTGCGTAAAGCAATGTTCAAAAGTAATGCGGATTCAGACTCCAGCTTTTCGAAGCTTAGCGATGCTGCTGACAGAATTCGATCATGGAAGAATGAAACCGACTTTGCTCTCAAACTCAAAGTTATATTTTTTTATAATTTTTATATATAATATAATACAGGTTGTATTCAAGAAAACAAAAAAGTTGCTAAAACTTTAATTATATCTCTCTATTTATATTACATAGTACATTATTATATATAATTATATATATAATATATATATATATATTATTATAATATATATAAAATAATATATTTTATTAATTTAAAATTAATTATATTCACTTGACTGATACAATCATCACAATGCAAACTGACAATAAACGGAAATTTCAACAAATTTAATTTTTAAAATTTGATCTCGTCATCCTGATGTGACAATACATTTCATGTAGCCCTCTCTACCTACATACACGTAATTAATAATAAGGAATTATTAAATAAAAATGATTAAACATATAAGTCAGGTCTATGTTTAGTTTCATTCACATATTCTACATCTTATGCTGAATTCCACATGTTTTTTTTTTACAATTAACAGTTTTTTAAATACTTAATTTTTTATTTTATGGAAGATATTAATGATTAATTGTTATTTGACCAGAACTCATTTTCATTATGAAATTTCAATTGTTGGTTATGTAAAGTTGTAAACTAAATTATTATTAATTTAGTGATGTTTTCTTAATGATGTTTCCAGGAACAAAAATTTATAGAAATGTCACAAACAAATGATGACCTTAGAAATAAACTCTTAGAGAGCCAAGTATCTCTGAAACTTGCTTGTTCTATTGTTTTATTTTTGTATTAACATTTTATTATGACAAATTTTTTAAGAAAGAAATTCAGAAATTAAAGTTTCAATTGGAACAAGAAAAAGAAAATAATAGTGATTTAATTTCCAGGTAATTTATGTCTACAAGTTATAAATTATGCTGATAATTTAAAAATTAAATTTTTGCAATTAGAAATTCAGTCAATAGAGAATTATGTTATGAGTTGAGAAGTATGTGTTCAAAGATAAATGAAGAACTTTCTCATGGTAACTCTCTTTTTTATCCCAATCAAATTAAATTTTTAAATCCATTAAAAATTATAAGTATGTGAATATATTTTTAAGAGTGAATGTGTTAGCACATTATAGTTGCTTTAAAGTTTATTAGTGAGTGTTTTTATAGTTTTTTCTAAAAATGGTTTATGAATTCAAGTAATATCTTTATGAGGTGTCTCAATTTTTTTTAGTTCATGAAGAAATACCGGAATTGCATCACCACCTGAATACACAAAAAAGTTTTAGTGATGTACATTTTTATTACATTTACCATATTGTGATTACATAATTTTTGTTTGTTAAATCATATTTTAATAAAGGATTTGGCCAATAAATTTGATTCACTGAGAGTAGATTGTTCTAATAAGGAATTATCACTGAATTCTCTATGTTAGTTTTGTAATTTTTTTAAAAACTTCATACAAATTTTCAACTTTTTTCATTTAAATTAAAGTAGAGGAAAAGATATTAGCCAACAGTTTATTAGAACAACAAATGCAGAATCAGAAAGTAACTTTTGAAAATCAGGTTTAATATAAATTTAAACACATTTATTCTAGAATCAGAAAGTAACTTTTGAAAATCAGGTTTAATATAAATTTAAACACATTTATTCTTGAATGCATAAAAAATCTCAACATCTGGAAACTTTTTAGATTGATGAAAAGGTAACCACAATTTTGTCCTTGCGAGCAAATATTGATGAGTTGAATAATTCTCTGTCTACTTTGCAAATCCAACTTCATGATAGAGAAATGCTCATGTCAAATTTGAAGCATGATGTAGCATTGAAAAAAGATCAGATTGAGGGATTTTTAGCATTATGTACTGATAATGATGCTAAACTTTTGATGTCCAACGAAGAAATTGAAAAACTGAAATTTGAAAAAGAAGAATTAATCAATAAAATAGATTTATTAACTGCAGAGAAAAATGATATGTCAGAAAATTCAAATGTTATAAAGAAAAACTTTGAGGAATCACTAACTACCCTAAAGAAACACAATGAGGAATTCGTTGTCTTGAAAAAGCAGTTAGATGATAAAGATGATTGTTTGAAACATGTTATAAATGATAAACTGACTCTGGAAAACCAAATTTCTATGCAAAACACAGAACTAGAAATTAAAGTTAACGCCCTGTTAAAATTAGAAAACGAAAACTTGATCTTGACAACTAACTATGATAAATTAATTGGTGAAAATGAGTGCTTAAATTCTAAGTTAAAAATTCTGGAAGATGATGTGGCATCTTTGAATATTGATATTGTTCACAAAAACGAGCAAATTGGGATTCTTGAAGATAAATTAACATTTGTAGATTCTAAATTAACCAAAAAAAACACTGAAATGCAAATTCTTAACGAAGAACTTCATTATCTAAAAAATAAAGTTGTTGATATGACTAGTAATCATAACTTAGAAATAGAAAAGTTTACAAATGAATTTACTACACTAAAGGCTAATTTCACTAGCGCTAAAGGTATATTAACTATTTACAACAATTCAAATTTGATAAAACTAATTATGAATAAATTTTCAGAACTTAAAAACACACTTGAAAAAGCGTTGTCGGAAAAAGTATTTAATTTTTATGTTTGATGAAATACAATTGAGTTTTTATGACAGAATTTTTTAAATTTATAAAAATCTATTCTAATAACTGTGAGCTGTCGATACTTATTCAGTTGTTAGAATTGTTTTAATTACGTGAGCGTATGTTTTTTCATTTCTCGATACAAAGTTGATTTTGAGTAATCTGTTGCATTCCCTGCACATAGCTTCCTTCACAAGCCGCTCTTGTACTGTACAGTGATAGTAAACATGCATCAATTTTGCTGATATAGATAATCTTTTATGACTTTTTCTTTTCTTCAGCAACCATTTTTTTTTCAAATGTATCTTCATTAGTCAGCCTTCAGCTGACTCGAATAACACTAGGTTGAGTTTTTAATTATCAGAAAACATGAAGCTGAGTCTAGCATGTACATTTTTCAGAATCATTCTTTACTTGATTGATTCATTTTTTTAATTCTATTAATCTCGTATGGATTGTTCCGTATTCTACTTCTAAAGAGATTGTTATTCGCCACTGAATACGTTTTTCCAATATTTTGTATGCCTATTTCCACAAATTGCAACCCTTAGACGCCATTTGATCGTGATAATTATGTCATAATTAGAATCATCGAAATATTTTTATCTTCCCATTCTTATTCAATTCAACTTTCAAACAACTATTTTGAGTATATCAATTTTTGCAATTTCCCTCAAAAACTAACTATTGTAAGTCCTTTTTTTATTAATTTAAAAAAAAATTATTTAACATGGTTCATTTTACTTGCAGTCGGAAGTGTCCACAAAACTGGCGGAGTGTTTAAATGCATGTGCCAGTTTAGAAATTGAATTAAACTCTGAAAGGTATTGTTGTTATTTATATTTTTAAATTTAATCAGTAGCTTAATTGTAATTATAAGAGAGAAGAACAATCAATGCATGCGTGAACTGGAAGACAAAGATTCAATAATAACAGATCTGAACAAGGTTTCTTTTAATTTTTGTGTCATGTTGTCATAATGCTGAAATGTTAAACAAATTATTGCAGAACTTTCAGGAAGCAAGTTGTATTCCATGCTTATAATAAGAAATATGTCAAATAATATCTTCCTTTTATATTTATTAGAGCTTGGATATGAAGAACAAAAGCTTCTCTTAGAAAACCGCCATAAAAGTGAAATAGCTGGGCTATTCTCGAAAGTTTGTAGTGTCTAAGCTTCGTTTTTAATATAAATATTCCATATAAAATAAATTTCTGCAGATTAATGACCTAGAAAAGACTAGGAAGGAACAAATTAGCACAATCTACTTTTACATGAACAAATGCAAAGCAGACTTAGCCTCGTCTTTGGAGAAAGAGAACCAGTATAAAATTAAGATCGAATGTTTGAGTAAAGAGGTTTCATCATAATAAAATTGTGTTGAGCATATTTGTTCTTAATTTCAACCAATAAAACTTATAGGTTGAAAAAACGAAATCTAGTGTAGCACAAAAAACCAGATTAAGTTCCGCTTCACAGGAATCATCTCTAAACAAAAGAATAAAAAAAGAACCCGTAATGTTTTGCATTTGTTGCAATTTATAGCACTTATTCCTTTCATTGATTCTTGTTTAAATTACAGGTTAAACAACTTAAAGCAGAGGTTTCATCTACGCCTAAGACAGCACCCAGTACCCCAAGACCACAAAGTAGTACTCTAAGAACTCCAACTGTAGAAATTATGTCTGCCACCGAATCAAAAGTTAATAACCCCAATGATATAGGTGTTAAAAACGATTTTTTAAGCTGGATTGAATAGATATTTTTTGATTATATGCAAAAACATGAGTCTTATTTTCAATTTTTGTTAATTAGTTTTATGTTATTTTTGAATGCTGTTCCTGTTAAAGTGTCGGTTGAATTGAAGTTAATAATAATTAAAACAAATGCAAATTTTAAACTAGATTTCATCAAATAAAATTTAATTTGTGAATGCGACAATTTAAAAAAGAATTTACATCACAAACCTCAATATATAAAGGGAAAATATTTATTTAATCAATAATTTTATTTAATCACAACAGCTAAAACGAATATTAAAAAAGTGTAACAAACATTAAAGACCAATAAGTTAAAATGACCTACAACAGATTTTTTATAGAACAAAACAACATAAAATAAAACATTTTTGGTGTAGGACCAGTTTTATTACGAAAAAGGAGGACGAACGTGGGATGGAAACTGAAAGAGGCTTTCGTTGTCGACTCCCATTGTTATCCAACTGTAAATTTATCATCGTGAATTTAATATGGGCAGTGGCAGATCTAGGGGGGTAACCTCGTTGTGAGCAATTTTTGTATCAAAAGTCGGTGAAAGTCATTATTTTAACAGAAAAAGCACCTTTTTTTACAAAAAAGGTCGTAAGCCTAATTTTGACATGTTGGCTCCTCCGTCAAAATTTAAACCATTTAAAAATTTTTACTCCCCGCCAAAGTTGTCTAGATCCGCCACTGCATATGGGTACAACAGAATTGTTTGTCTTTTTAACATAAACATACACGCGTGCAAATATGCTAAAAGTAAATATGTAAAATCAAGATGGTGCTTGCATATTCTCAAAATTTGTTGTGGTGCCGTGTAATGAAATCGCTAACGCCAACATCAAATTAAAAACATTTGTGTTGAAATAAACTATTGCAAGCTCGGCTTCATTTCGCCTTAACCACCGGAATTCTTTTTCGGAGATATGAGTTTCCATCTGCGTTTTCACTGTCAACGGTATCAATAAGGTGGACGTTGTCATCGTTAACAGCATCAGCAACGTGTATATTGTCAGAATCATTTGAGCAACATTCATTTGAATGACCATCGGCTGACACTCTCTCTTTCGCGTTCAATTCATTCTCAGCCGAGTTCTCGGGACTAGTGTTAAATTCATCGTGATGCCAATACTCCTAAAATTTATATAGAATAAATTTAGTAACACAATTTAAAAAATTGATTTAAAATACAAATAACCACGTTGTCAACGATGTCATTTTGTGATGCAACTGTGGACTGAATTGCCTCCATCGCTTTCAAAATTCTAGTCATCTGGTTTTCAGTTTCCTTTAATCTTTCTTTGAGAGTATTCATTTCATCATCGCCTGTTCAATCAAATTAATACCATCATTTTTTGTTTAATGAAAACACTCATGTTCAAAGGCGCCAACGTCAAATCAAAGATATTATTTTATTTTGAAAACTTAATTTTAAAATTTATCTCTAAAAATTAAGTTTAAAAAATTATTGGCTTTCAATAGGTTAAGGCGAATAAAATTTAGAGTGCATAGAATTAGAGCTTTTAGAGTTAGACCCAATTTAGAAATGACGTGTAAAATTTAAAAAAAAATTATTTAGAAATAAAAAAAAACAAAAAATAAAAGTTCATATAACTTAACCAAAGAGACAACTGATTGTACACCTGAGCAATAACTTTATTCAAAAGTCAGTCGAATGTATATATTTATATAATGCAATTTCTGAACAGCAAAACAACTCAGACAAGCTTGGTAAATTAAGATGGTTATAATAATCACTCACGGTGAAAAAAACTATTAACAACAATAAATAAAAAGATGAACATAAAAAAATAATTCAAAGCGCTGTCTATTTGCCGCCCGTTAAAGCAACATGAATGAGTGTAAAAAATAGAACAACTGTACTGTACACCCTGTGAAAATGATATTGGAATCGACCGTTGAAATGAATTAATTGGGAGTAAGGAGACCGGGAGTGAAACGGTGGAATGTACAACTGAAAAATTATTGGGGAATAAGAAAGTGCCAGTAAGAACAATAAAATTAAACATTGCACTCTTAAAACCGAGATAGAGCAAGCTCTGCTTTGGAAATACAGGTTAGAAAGCAAAGTAACATTAAAAAGAAAACAAGATTGAGATAAGAGTGTATAATATACATTAATAACATAAATGCATTATTATATATTAGGTATATATACATAGTTACACGCATGCGACAAGACCCTGCCTATAGATAATAAGTTACTACATACATACCATGTATAAGTTACTACATACACACATTACATCAGTTGCTGCTTCCCGAGCATACCATGTCAGTATTAGTGTCACATAAATTTTCTCTAAAACAATTTAATAAATGAAAAGAAAACAAGCATATTTTTAAAATGTACGAAGCCACAGAAAAAATTTAAAACCTGCAATTACAAATCTTTAATATCTTTAGCGTAAAAGTAAATTTATTATTTTGAAATTTAAACCTCATCACTTTTTGAGATTAGAATATTTGTATAGTTTAAACTTTAAAATTATCAATTGAAACACAATTCAAAACATTAAAAATTAATTTTAAATTTTATAGCACGAATGTTTGAACAACTGCCTCTGTAGTGTAGAGGCAACCACATGACTCACAAATATTTACGTGGTATGCTCGGGGTGGTAGTGAAAAATGTATATAATAAGCAACCAATTAGTTCTTGATCAGCTTTCCATAGTAGCTGTTCTAGTTCTTTTTGCTTGTTAATAACCTTTTCCTTGATCTCAGCATCATCCATGCTATCGTAATCAACATAATTGTGAGTCATAGGCTGATATTGCTGCTTTGGCTTGCTCTGTTTCTTTGCAAATAACTGAATATAAATGTTTTTCATTATTTTTTTAGTATTAGTCTGATCTAAAACCTAAAACTTCTATAAGATAGCCTAATCTAGAAAATTGAAAAACCAAGCACCTTTGACAGCGTATAGACCAAGTAAATTAAAATTCCTATAGCATACAAGGGTAAGATATAACCAAGTGTGCCTCTGTTTTCAACCGATTGCTTGCTTGTCATCATCTTCTTCATTTCAGAAGCAGCATGCATGCCAGGATGACCTCCCATCTATACGGATGGTGAAATGTTCAATGCATTTTTAAAGTATTAACAAATAAAACTGGCAATTTTTTTTAATATTTATATTTTACATTGTGCATGCTGATTACTGCTAAAAAACAGATTGGATAGTTTATGAGAAAGTTGGCAAAACAAACTTGAATTAATTTTATGAATATATCATTTCTCTATGTAAAAAACATACATGATCTAATGATAGAATTATAAAAACTTGTAATTTACTCTTGAAAAAGAAGGAGAAAACTTTTGTTTGCCATCATGTCTTTTCATGGCTTCATAAATGGGTCTGGGTAGTCCCATATTATCTAAAAAAGAATTATTAATTTAGTAAAAAAAATAAATACATTACAATTGTTTTGCAATGTGTAAACTATGCCACAACAATGACCAAAACCCTCTTACACTGATTGGTGTTTAAAAAATTTTATAAAATAAATTGAAAAGAGTTTATTTCTAATAAATTTGGAGTTTACTAATTAATTTATTTAAATAATAAATGTCAAAAATGTTTAAGCTTTAATATACATATATATACATATATAATTTAGTATGAGGTTCTCAGATAAACATGATAATCTTCAACCGTACATATATACATATATAAATAAATATATAAAGGCTGGAAGGCGACCATAATTGATGCAATATTTGATACAATCTACCAAATTTTTAGCTTGCGAAAATTCGGTAGATTCTATCAAATAAATATACATATTGCAAAATTGATGTATCTGATAACAGATCAACTATTTTCACCCATGTATATATATATATATATATATATATATATATATATATATATATATATATATATACATACAGTGTTGTGTACGAACATTAACTTAGATTCTAACGTTCAATATCATAAATTGAAAGTTAAACTGTTTTTGGTGAAAATGAACAAAAATAAATGTTTGCAATGTTCAGAGGCAAAAAGGTCGGGGTAAGGCTGCCAAATGTTCTCAGTGTGAGTACTTTGCGCATGCGAACTGTGTTTCAATCCCTAAAGAAGTTTGCAACCTTTTGGATTCCAGTACCAACCTCAGATGGTTCTGTGATAGATGCTCAAGTCTGGGACCTAACATTAAAAAGTTGACCAGCTCTGTCGATTCTCTCAGAAAGGATGTTTTCAACAAACTCAACACATTGAACGATTTGAATGCAAATATAAAGCCAGAGCTCAAGAATACCTAGGCAGCATTAGAAATTAATAAAGAAAAGTTAAACCAGCTTGAGAGCACTGATGTTTTTCGTGGTGAATTGAACATCTTGAAGAATGATATGAAAGTATCTTTTGCAGATATCGTCAGTCGCGGGATTAAAGGGCACGCTGATGATATCAAGGCCGAAGTCAAAACAGTCCAGACGACAATAAATGATGCTAAACAAATCAAAGAAAGAGAAAATAATCCAATTATGTTTCATTTGCCTGAGATTCTGAAACACCTGTCTAATAATGTTGTTGATGCTAACCTAGTCCATCTAACTAGACGCGGAAAAAAATCAGACGATCATACCCGACCGCTGTTTTTGAAAATGGATAGTGTTGACATAAAAAACATGATAATTAAAAACGTTTCTAAATTAAAATCGCTTGACGTCAGCCTGGGTCGCATCGGACTTAGTCACGATCTCTCCCCAGGGCAGAGAAAGGAACTGAGGTCAAAGATAGAGGAGGCAAGAGCATTGGAAACTTCTGACAAGGGTTTTTTATACCGTGTAAGAGGCCAGGTTGGCAAATGGAGGGTGGTGAAATTTCCGGTAACTCAAAGACAGACCTAGGTGTTCAACTGACGGATATTAATAATGTTGGTGGTGGTGATGGCATTCATGGTGACTATCTGACGACAAAAAGTATTGGTAGTAGTAGTTTTATTGGTAATGCTTGTGGGTATGATGATGGCCGTGGTGATACTAGAAAATATTCGATATCAAATTGTAATGTTAATGATTTTAAAAATTACGGTCATATTAGTGCAAGTGATAGAGTTAGTGGTAAAGATGGTGGTGGCAATTTTAACATAAAAGATGTTAGTTTTAATTTGAATAATAATGGTAATGTTGTTGGTGGTGAAGATTTTGGTGTTCGCAGTCTGACCCTTGGGGTTATTGGTAACGATTATTTGGATTCATCTCTCGACGGTAATAAATGTTTAATGATGAAAGGCACTGGCAATGACTTAAATGGTAATGTTAATTTTGGTTGTTTGGTTGATGGTCATGGTCTTGATGGTGGTGATTATTCGATGGTCTGTGGTACTGGAAGCGATCTGAACGTTATTGGTAAAAATGGTTGTGGTAAAGATGATGGTAGTGATTGCGTAATAACAAATGGTACCGGTAATGATCGTAATAAAAGTGGTGGTTTTAATGATCTTAAAAAAGTAGGTAATAACAATGTAATGAAAGGTGGTGCTGTTGGTAGAAATATTGGTGGAATTAAAAATGATCGGACTAATAATAACTTTTGTGTGGTTAAAATAAAATTGGGTTTACTAAATATAAGATCAATTGGCTCAAAGTACAACATCATTTATGATTTGATCAGTGATGGTTTGGATATTTTTGTTGTTACTGAATCATGGCATGGTTCATCAGAAAATCCCTCCATTGCGTTATCTACTCCTCCTGGTTACCGCTTTGTAGATTGTGTAAGAGATCACGACCCTCTCCATGGTGGATTGATAATATTTTTTCGTCTATGTTTAAAATGTAAAAAATAGCCTTACCTACAGTTACCACATTTGAAGTTTTGGCGGTCAGGTTCACAGTTAATAGTCAGGAGTTTATTTTGCTCGCTATTTACAGACCGGGTTCTGCAAAGCTGTCTGGATTATTTTTTAAAGAACTAATTTCTATTCTGGAAAACATTACAGTACTCAGTTCTCGAATTATTTTAACCGGGGACTTTAATGTTCACGTTGAAAAGACGAATGATCCTTATGCTGCTAATTTAAATGATATCTTCGATAATTTTCCACTCATCAATCATATAAAAGCACCAACACATCTACTTGGTGGTACACTAGACTTGATAGTGGCCTCCGAGGATTTTCCAGTTCATGATTGTTTAGCCCATCCAAGTGGAATTTATTTTGATCATAGTTTTATTTGGGCTTAACTGTCGATGACTCGAGGATATTTGGTTGGAATTAAAAAAGTTTCTAAAATATGGAATCAGATGAATGTTGATGACTTCATCAAACTCGTGCTTGAATCTCCAGTCTCCAAATCATGTCAAAGCAATGAGGTAGACAAGGAATTGCATTTATTTAATAACGAGTTAAAATCTATTGCCAATAAAGTTGTACCTATTCGTGCAGTGACCGCCAATAACGTTCGTATGGCTCCGTGGTTTGATAATGATTGCAGGTTAGCCAAGCGTTTGTGCAGAAAAATGGGAAGAAGGTTCAGAAAAAGTTCACAGTTGATTCATCAAGATGAATGGAAGACTGCTTTGAAGAGGAAATCAGAACTTTTCTCTAAAAAACGTTGTCAGTATTGGACAAAAATTTTTGATGATAATATGATGAAACCAAAAAATCTTTGGCGGGTTGTGAACAGCATTCTCTGTAGGGGTCGTAACGATAAATCCTGCTCAGATTTGGATGAACTAACACCTGATCGATTTATGTGCTATTTCAATGAAAAGTTAAGCAAGCTGAGAGATAGTGTCAACAACGATGCTTAACCGAGCCTGGCAGAATTCCAATCAGGTGTCAATAATAGTTTGTTCTCAACGTTTTCTATGGTTTCTGAAGAGGAGGTAATAAAGTTAGTTCAAAATTCACCTACAAAGTCGTGTCAACAAGATGTAATACCTACCCACGTATTAAAGAAGTTTATAAAACTATTCGCACCATTTTTGGCAGGCCTGATAAACAGCAGTTTGAATGTGGGACAGTTTCCCTCTGGCTGCAAGCATGCTATCATAACTCCGCTGCTGAAGAAACATAATCTAGACGAAAATGATGCTGGGAATTACAGACCAATTTCTAATCTTTCTTTCCTATCCAAAATTATCGAACGTGTGGTTGCCAGGCAAACACTAAGTTACTTGAGCAATAACAATTTAATGCCAAAATTTCAATCTGGATTCCGTCAGTACCATTCGACTGAAACTGCTCTTTTGCAAGTTTTCTCAGAAGTGTACGGGGCAATTGATGAACAAATGTGGCAATGCTAGTCTTTCTTGATGTCATCCGCATTTGATTGTGTAGATCACAAAGTACTTTTAACAAGACTACGTTGCAGTTTTGGAATCTCTGGTGCTGTTCTGAGGTGGTTTGAGTCGTATCTGGTAGGTAGATCACAACAGGTATCATTCAGTGGTAAGTTGTCTGAGGTTAATATTATGTTGTCTGGTGTGACATAAGGTTCGGTTCTAGGGCCTATTTTATTCCTGATCTATACATCTGAAGTACTAAAGATAATAGAATCATTTGGTTTTTCAGGTCATGCTTTTGCGGACGACTTACAAATTATTGTTACGAGCAGACCAGATTCTTTTAAATCAGAATTGGACAAATTGGTTAAATGTTTGTCTGGGGTCAATAAGTGGATGCAAAACAATGGTTTAAAACTAAACCAAAACAAGAATGTTTTTTTACCAATCGGAACATGGCAGCAACTCTCAAGAATAGACACAGATTCAATAACTGTTAATGATGAGGTCATCCCATTTTGTCAGACAGCAGCTAATCTGGGCTTCATTATTGATTCAGGTTTGTCAATGAAACAACACATTAAGAAGCTCTCAGCCGGATGCATGTTTCAAACCAGGAAAATCAATCAAATTCGACGATCTCTAGATGCGTCCACGTTACAGACGTTGGTTCATGCATTTGTGCACTCACGCGTCGATTATTGCAACAGTTTGTTTTATGACTTGCCTGATCGATCCATGGCTGTACTACAGTCAATACGAATATCCACCTGAGCCTTCACTTCGGCGGAGTCTTTCCTGGCCGGGATCCGTCACTACAATAGACTCAGGCGGAAGTTTGTTCGCGCCCTACTTGTTGACTAGAGACGCCGACCTCGTCAACTATCAGCAAGTCCTCTTCAACATACATTATTTTAGGTAAAATAATTAAGCTGAGCCAAATTTCAAGTGTATACTTCTTTTATTCAATAAAAACAAAATTGTACAAATCAAACCTCTGTCTTTATATGCAAAGTAACAATTAACAAGCAATATATCCCAAATTAACTATCTATTAATACTATCTACTATAACTATCAGGCAAACTATCAGAGATCCAAGCGATACTATAATCAACAGCTAAAAATAAAACCAGAGCGAAACCAAGAAGTTAAAAACATAACCTAAAAACAACGACGACCTCAATATATCTCAACTCGCATTCTTATATATGTTTTTACCGTCCTATCTACATAACGCTTTCTATATCATAGAAAATTCTATACTCCCTCTATACTCTTTTCTATACTCCTCCCTATATACAGAACAGCACATAGCAAGCGTCGCATATATCGCATATATAAAATATCAAATAACAAGATATACATACACAGAATGTCTTTTAAAATATATAGATATATACATACAGGTGGCAGGTTTCAAAGACGCAATCATTATCATCGCAATCGTCACAATTTCACAAAATATACAGGTGGCATATTTCAATCATGCAATCATTATCATCGCAATCGTCACAATTTCACATATATATACATTTACATATATATATATATATATATATATATATATATATATATATATATATATATATATATATTTCGAGAGAATTGTCTCCGAAAAAATTGAAATCGGCAAAGCTGGATGTTGCCAAATTGGGCGACAAAAAATCAAAAAATCATTTTGTCATTTGTTGGATGCAGCACTGGCTAACGACTGTGTATGGAGTGGCGTCAAATGTCAGCAGCTTTCGGCAAAACGCCCACAAGGAATGGTTCGATGATCAAGACAAGGAGGCTCGTCGGCTAATAGCCATCATGAGAGCCGCACAAGAACATCGGCGCAAAGAAAACATTCTATTCTAATGTTCGTAATTTGGCACAAAAAAAAGCCTTGACAATTAAAAGAATCTTTGTGAGCAAAAAAAGAGCAAAAACTTCAAACACGGTTGAATTTTTTATTGAAATCATATCGACATAATTATATTCAGGCAAACCCGGAGATAAGAAACTGGTTTTCCCTGCAATATTTATTTATAGTTTAAAGCAACAAATAAGCTACTCTCATGGTGTAACTAAAAGTTAAACTAAATAATAATAACAAAGTCGTAAACTGGTAAAATAAAGCTGTATTCCTATAACATATATTTAAAAAAAATTTGAACCACAACAACTTTAACAAGTTGAGCATATTGAGGTATGTTATATCCATTGAGATATAAGTTATATAAATTGAGGTACGAGTATAATTATTTTTTAATTTTATAAGATGAGATATAATAATTATATAAGCCCAACCTACACCTCAATGGTTGAGCATTGAAGTAGGCATAGGAATGAGCTATAACATTTAACATAACATAAACCAAGCTTAATTAAAATTTAAATTAGATTTTGATCTGAAAATATTGAAAAGAAGATTACATTGTCGCTGATGTATAATGCTGCCAGGTAAATCTTCAATGTACTATATTACTAATTTACTATATTCCAATCTGTAAATGTGAATCAGAATATTAACTCATTAAAAATTCAAACTACAAAAACTAAAAAAATCAAAATCTTAAACCAATTTCTAATAAAAAAACAAGAAACATAACAAAATGTGTAACATAAAATTTCAACTCAACTGTTAAAAACATAATTTCACTTTTAAAATGAAGCACGTCTGCTCTCATTGTGTCTAAACAAAAAAATGAGTTTCACATGGTTTTACATATTTTCAATTAATGAATAACTTTCAAGACACAAATGATGCAATAAATTTGGCAATGCAACACCACAGGTTGCTTGCATCATGAATGAGTTTTGTTAATGGTCGCAAAATGAAATTACAAGACCAGAAAAAAAGCCTGCGATGGTAAAATTTGGCACTGCACCAACACTTCTGGGTGCGGCAAGACATGAACGGCAAATTTAATGAGAAAAGCCATCTCAAATTAGACCAGTATATTGTTAAAAGTACTATTGTGATTTAATTTTCAAAAAAGAACATATTCACGTTTTGTTCAATTATTTTTTGCTTATTTCAGTTGACATACTACTGGAGTATGGGAGATATCAGGCAACAGTTGCAAGTCTGCTGCAAATATATAACAGCAAAACATTACCGGACTGCACTGAGTGGGCTAGAGACAACCCAATTAGAACAGGTGAGCCAGGGCATGTAGTCCAAATTGATGAAACTCCAGTCTTGAGTGCCAAACGTACGAAAAACAGTCACACAAGGTGAGTGTTTGGGGACATTGATACAGACACAAAACAAGCATTTCTTGTAAAGATGGCACAAAGTGATGCAGTAACACTCGTGCCAATAGTACAATGCCACATACTGCCTGGTAATTTTTTTCTCAATTTTTTGTGTTACAAATATATTTTATTGCTAACTGATCAAACAGGACCAACTGTGTGGTCAGATCATTGGGCTGCTTATAATAGTCGAACAACAGGATTGCTACAAGATACTGTGAATCACAAATATGAGTTCTTGGGTCCAACTGAAATTCAAACAAATGGCTTAAAAAATCTTTGGAAATGAGCCAAAGATAAATTTAAACAGATACATGACACCTTCAATGCTCACATCTCATCGTATCTGGATGACTTTATGTGGCAACGCAATGTTAGAGACTGTGACTGGGGTTCTAAAAAAGAGCTCTTGAGCTCACCTATACATATTAAGTTGTATGAGTTATTATCTACATTATATTACATACATCTATACATTTTAAGTTGTATGAGTTATTTTTTTTATGTCAATTGCTTTTCATGAACACACCTACAAGCATTTTCAAACATTTAAACATATTATATTATAACATGTAGAACCATTTAGTTTTTAGTATATTGGTATTATCAATGTAATAAGATGAACAATTAAGCTCTATTACTATTTAGTTAGCAGCTAATGTGGCTCTTTAATAAGCAGTTGATTATAAAAAATAAATATAAGTTTACCTTATTCATATATGTTATAAACTTATAATTATGATTTTCCTATTATATTCACACATACATCCTTATTATTCAATAAGGATAATGATAAATAAATTAATAATCAAATGAAATCTCTAATCTGTAATCTCTAATAATCTACTAATCTAATCAATGCTAATCTTCTAATCCTAATGCTATTCTATCTAATAATCTATCTATTCTATTCTATTCTATTCTATTCTATTCTATTCTATTCTATTCTATTCTATTCTATTCTAATTGTGTCTGATGGTGAGCTAAAAATCAATTATTAAAACCTGCTCTTTGATCATTCTCAGTCGCCCTATGTGCACCAAAGATCGTTAAAACCAAAGGATAGAAGAGTTTGGGAAAGAGAACAACGAAACAACCGACGATGATAAAAAACACGGCAATCGTCTTCAGGTTGGTAGAATCCATTTTTGTTTATTATAATAAGTGATGTACTGTAAATCATTTTTACAGTGTTTACTTTATCTTGGAAAAATTTTTGTATGTCCAATATATTATGCCCAATGTCCAATCACCACATAACACTTCTATTCATTACAAAAATAGGACTCCTTAACAAATTTAGAATGCAAACTACAAAGATGAAAATTTAAATAAACAAAATCCACATTAATATCAAAGACGCTACCAACCATGGATATATATATATATTTATTTATTTATTTATAATTATTTATAAAGATCACTGCGTTTTCGCAGTTATATATATATATATATATATATATATATATATATTTATTTATTTATCCATGCTACCAACAACCAAAAACGCCGACAACAAAAACATCATCAACAAACATATGAGAAGCGAGAGACATAAAATTCCAGCGGCAAGAAGATAGCCGATAACCGAGCTGAATCGCCCTTAATCGATCATCCAATCAATCAATTATTTTATTTTAATTTTTATCGGCTGTTGGAATTGAACTTCACTACCTGAAAATGAATGTTAAAAGAAAACCACTTGCTTTAATTTAAATTTTAATGAAAAACTTTTATAACGGAGCTATAATCAATTTTTAAAAAATTTCTTGTATGTTCTTTGTAATCTTACATCATATTTGTGACCATTAAAAAGTAGCATGTTAAATAGAAAAACACGGCATACTGTGCAGTTGAATAAATTTTATAAGAAGTACCAAATTAATTGTTGCTACAAAAAAAATAGAAAAATATGTTCTAGAGAAAGTTTAATGCGGTATTTAGTAATTAAAACGTAAAAAGGTTTATATGTTTGGGACGAAAGTAGAAGAAATGATCAGCTCAGAAACAAACGAAAGTGAAAGAAAGATAAAAACTAAACTAAGGAAATTTTTTGTAAAAAAATGAAATATAGTAAAAAAAGTTGTTTCGCAATAAAAAAAACTTCACAAATGACGTCATTTCAAATTTAGAAAGTTTTCAAAAAAGTGATAAAAAATGAAACGGCGACGAATTAATGGAAGAATCGTATTTTAACTGAGGCCTAAGAGGAATCATGAAGAGATAATAAATTCCTATTGTGACATGTGTAAAATACACCTAGACTCTTATAAACACCATGCAAAATATGAGAATATACCTACATATTAAGTTAGAAACAAATGAATGCGAAGTAAAAATTTAAGATATGTATCATAATACCAATATTAAATTTGAAGCTATTGTCAAGAGCCTTGCTCATCTTTGCTCATGAGGCAACTTAAAAAAAATAATCTAAAGTAATAAAATATTTAATTTTATAAGCGTCTATACAAAACAACAACAATAATTTAATTTTATAAAAAAAAACTTTAAAACTTTTTTTATTAAAATATATTTATATATTTTAATAGATTTAATACGACATAAACATTTATAATTTTTGTGTCAAAAAACTAAATTTAATAAGACATCGAGCAAAAAATTATGTGGCTGTAAAAAGTAAGATAAATAAAGATTCAGCTAATGTTGAGAGTTTGAAGTACGAAAATGATCCGGGTTCTTTAAGTTCATTTGACTTCAATATAAGATTGCGATGCGTGTCATGTGATACGTTAAGTTGAATCAAATAAAAACGAATTAAAATGACGCAAGATTACTCAAACATGTAGGTAGGTAAATGATTTCGTGGTCTCACTTAGCTCGGGATCTGTTACATTTTAATTAATGCTTTTAGTGATGCTAACAAGGATCAGCGGTGGATCTAGACAACTTTGACGGGGATTTGAAAACGTTTAAATTTTCACGGAAGGGCCAAAATTTTCACGGGGACCTTACACACAAAAAGGTAATTTTTCGGACTTTTATTAAAAATCTGCACCCCCGGCTTGCCCTACATTCGCTCAGCAAGGATTTAGAATAATTGTTCGTTAAAAACCTGTTGACATTCGATATTTGTTTAAATTTTTTGAGATTTTTTCCAAAAAATTAGCTGCTGTTCATGACTGTTGATGTTTATTTGATGTTTTGTTTGTTCAAGCATATAATTAAATTATGTCTAGTTTAAACGTTTCACACATCGAGATAATTGAGATTAAGAGAAAAAAATGAACAGATTGCGTGAAAGAAAGAGAGAAAGAGAGAGAAAGAATGAAAGTGAGAGAAAGAAAGAGGGAAGATGCAAATGTTCGTATCGTATATTTAATTCATTTGCTAGTAAATACGCGCATACAAAGATTTAGTTTCTGCGTGCATGAAAGTGAAACTGTTGCTATGTATAGTTGAGAGTAGATATATAGAGAATGTATCGCAGATATAGAGGCGTGTATGTTAGTAATGCATCAATTTATTTGAAAATGGAACATATGCTAATGCGTGGAAGTAAACGTATGTTGAAGTTAAACTAAAGAACTGAAGTGGAGGCTTTAGTTCATACACATGCATGCCAATTTCTTCATACCAAACCGGCTATAGATCAGGTTGGTTGCGTAGACTTTCCGAAGAGGTAGTCGTTTGTTTCATTGAAAAATTCGTAACTTCGGGCGATTGTTCATCAGTTACTGCGAAAAAACTATCAATTAGAGTCGAACGTAACAACAATTGCCACTCCGACGTGTTCTTGCAACTTATGAACAATTGTGCGAACGATCGCTGATGTTTATGCTTAATGCTGCCTAAGACGGAATGCAAATGTTTGATCAGATAAGCATAATTAAAGACGTTCTATATGATAATTGCAGCACTTTTCGAGATGGACTTGACGGTCTAGACAGGTCACTAATGAACCCCAACGTCTAGCCGACAAACGTTGCTGGCATTTGTCACTTATGAAGGTTATCACTGTTTCGATCTTTTTATAAATCTATGCATATGCATTGTTGTCGTTACGCTATGTGGGCGGTGCTTTGAAATGATTGGCACAATACATACCAATGCAGTAGAAGATCGGTCACAGTCCATTGTTTCTGCTGCGGTGACTTTGATTAAAAGTTTGCATTCACAAAATATTTTCTTTCACAACTGAAAGAGTCTACACAGTCAACAAATGTGAGTGTAAATATTTGAACAGGCGTTCGTACTAACACTTCAAACGTCGTGCTGACATTAACTTTGTTGGATAATTAAAAAAGTTTTAATAAAAAATTACTGCAAGGATTTCACAACATTTTCAGAAGACTTTCAAAATTGTTCGTAGAAGACAGTTGTTGCACGCACAAAAACTGAAAAATTCGTCGGAAATATAATTTTTACTCAATTGAGATTGAACTACCGTTAATTCTATGTTCACTTGCATATGATGGACGGTTTGTTGGCCTGGTTCTCCATCATATTTGCCCTAGTTGCAATTTGTTGTAATGGAATCTCTGGAAATCGATACGAAGGTCAGTTTGATTGTTATGGCTGCTTTGTTGTTGTTGCTGTGTAGTTGTTGTTGCTGTGTTGTTTTTATATGGTTGTTGTGTTGTTGTTGTTGTTTTTGTTATTGGTTGCTGTGTTGTTTATGTCGTTGATGTTGCAGTTATTTGGTTATGTTGCTTTTGTGTTCTCATGTTATCTGTTATTTCTCCCACTATGTTCTGTTTAGTGTCGCTGCATAGTGGTGTTATTTCTTTTTTAAAAAGTGTTTTTGTGTTTGGGTTCTTTTACCTACATAATGATTGTTATATGCACGTCAAAACTGATGCAATTTTCAATATTAAAATACAATTTTATTGAAAAAAAATTTTTGTCTATAAATTAACATGATAAAATGCAAGAAATTAAAAAAAATAATGTCTGTGTGCGCACATGTATACAAATAAATATTATATATATATATATATATATATATATTTGTGTGTGTATATATATTTAATTTATTTATACGTGTGTGTGTGTGCGTCTGTGTAGGTCAGTGTGTTTGTGTGTATGATTATATGTGTGCTTTTGTTAGCGTTTTTTTGTGTGTATACTTAAACTTATGCCATTTTAAAATTTGTTGAATGTTGTTGTTCATGTTCTTGTAATGTTTCGTGAGTAGTACAGGTTATTCATAAGAATTTAAGTTTAAATAAAAAATTAAATTTCATAAATTTGAATAAACCAATAAATTCTACATAAATTTGCATAAATCAATCCATTCTATCGACAATTATGTTAATATTTACATAAATTTAATTTAACAAACTACATCAAGATTTGAAGTATTTCGAAAATAGTGAATTAACAAATAAATAAACAAACAATATAACAAAACGCAAGATGCACTAGCACTAACAACGAGCTTAATGCAAAAATGCGAGAATTACATTCAATAAGATCTGATCAACATCGCAACAATTACAATAACAATAACTACATGCTAATTTAAAAATAGCAATAATAACATTAATAATAATAATAACATTAGTAAAGCAATAAACATAACATTGCTCAAAGAGCGCTAAATCATCGTTTGAAATGACATCAAACCATTTTCATGTCAGAAAGGATTAATGCAACGTACGGGTAATGTGTATGTATGTAGGTATGCGTGTATATATATGTATATATATTTATTTATATATTTGCGTATCTGTGTGTATGCATGTATGATGATGTGTGTATGTATGTATGTATGAGTGTGTGTGTATGCGTGTGTGTGTGTGTTATTTATGTACTTATATGTACATATAAGCGTAAATGTATGTCATGTAATGTATGTAATGTTGTAATGTATTGTGGCAAGCCGACCGACAGACAGGCAGGTTACAACGATCTACCTGCTGCGCTCTGTTCTGTTTAACATCAAATCATTCTTTTCAAATAATATGCAATTAAACGATGCACTCAATTGATTATTATCTAACTAAACAGCATTTGCCGTCTGTGCATGTGCTGCATTCAACAGAAATGCACGCATGGGCAGAATGTATTCATTCATTTTAAGGTTTTCGATTAGTTTAATTCATTTTTTTAATTATTAATTATTTTATGACGTAACTTCACTTTTATTTTATATTTATTTATTTATTTCATTATTTATTTAT